GACCTGGACCCTCGCACGTGGCCAACCACAGCCTGAGTCTGAGACCTGGTGGCTTGCTCTCTCACCTTCTCTGTCTCTCTCTCTCTCTGCCTCTCTCTCTGTCTTCTCATTTTTTTTGTAATTTTTCCTTTTTAAAAATTGTTTAAGGTAAAGTATTCTCTTGACTTTCAGATCATCCTTTATCTTGCTAATAATTCCCTTTCTCCCCTCCCATCCAGCAGGGGCAAGGGGCAGGCCTTCAGAAGAAGACTCCTCCACAGCTCCTGAGAACTAGTGATTCCCTCTTTTTATCTTTCTTTCTTTTTCTCTTTCTCTGTTTCCTTTTCTTTCCTTTTCTTTTTTTTTTTTTTTTAATCTCATCACTCTGTTCCTGAATCTCTGTTTACTGTGTTTCTAGACGGATCTAAGGGAACAATAGCCCAACATACAAATACTATTAGGGTTAACATATTCCTCAATACCCACTGAATCTGCTGCACAAAGAGATAAAAAAGGAATGGCAAAGAGATTCCAGATCACCTCCTTCTGCACACTCCTGAATGCTCAGATTGAACTTCAAGAATTAGGAAGAAACATACCATCCATCAGATGACTAGAAATCACCACAGAGTCACATGAAATATGGGAAAGCAAGAAAATACCTCTCCTCCAAGGGAAAAGAATAACTAATCTTCATCCACAGACAGTTCAAAGGAAATGGCTGATAAAGAATTTAGAATATTCATATTGATGAAGCTAAGAGACATGGAAGAGAAGAAAGACAATGAACTACAGAAGAGAAAGAAGAAAGGGGCTGACGAGTTCCAGGAAGTGAGGAAAGTCTTGCAAGTTCTAAAAAAGGAAATACACACTATAAGAAAGAATCAAATGGACCTGTTAAAGATGAAGACTAAAATATAGGAAGTCAAAAATCTCCCTTGAAAGTATTAAAAGCAGACTAGATCATACGGAGAATCGAATCTCAGACATAGAAGATAAAATCACTGGCCTAGAAAATCCACCATAAAGCCTAAGAAAAGTGCCCAAATAAATGAGAATAATATACAAGAAATACTAGATACCATAAAACATTCAAACATCTAGATAACTGGTATCCCAGAGGCGAAGAAACTCCGAAGGACATTGATAATCTATTCCATGAAATCCTGCAAGAAAACTTTCCAAACCTAGAGAGGCACTCAAAGATCCAATCCCAAGAAATACAAAGGACCTCAAATAGAATCAACCCAAGAAGATCTTATCCAAGACACATTATTGCCAGATTGACCAAAACCCCAAAGACAAGATACTAAGATTGGCAAGAGAAAAATGGCAAGTTACGTACAAAGGATATCACATCAGGCTAACAGCAGACCTCTCATCAGAAACAATGAGAGCAAGAAAAGAATGGGAGAATATATTCAAAGTGCTAAGGGAAAAGCAATTTCAACAAAGAATACTATACCCAGCAATATTATCCTTCATATGGAAAGAAAAGACAAGAACATTCTCAGATAAACAAAACCTGAAAGAATTTACCAATATCAGACCAGATCTCCAAGAAGTTCTCAAGGGAGTGCTATATCAGGAAAATTAAATACAGACACACAGAAATAAAGAGTTCAAAAACTAAGAAAATGACCAACTTAATCCTAGGGACAAGTCTGGAGTAGAAAATTATATCCCAGAATTTAATCAAGAAGATTAAACCACAACAGAAGATAGATTAAGTACATGAGATTGAACTGGTAAAACAGCATTTGATGACTTTTGACTAAAACATTGCTGATTTTCTTCTAGGTTTTGTTTTCCGATTTTAAAGATTTTTTGTCCTGTCTTGAGCTTTTGATAGGTTCATGTACCTACTATTTGTACAGAATCCTAACCTTTTTCCTGGCTTTAAGTTTTAAGCAAAGTTTCTTAGCATTTCTATGATTTATTAAAGTTAAAGCTGCTTTTCTTGAAAAAAAAATTTTTAATTAAATAATTCTTAAAAAAAATAATAACAGAGGCCCCAACTCAAAAGTCACCAGCTCAAAGGTGTCCCCAGATGTGCTGAGCCCTTGGCCTTTCCCAACTGGGGAATCAAATTTGTGCTCATTGCTGCACTGAGGCTGCCCAGGCTCAGGAATGGACGGCAAGCTGCCCTGGGCTGCCAGCCTCCTAGCCTCTGGGCCTGTGGGGAGGTAGGATGGCCCTGAAGGCTGACTCGGTAGAACCTCTCTTAGAATAAAGTGTTTGGTGCCTATACAGACTGTGGAAAAGAAATCGCCTCCTGACAGGCTCTATAAGGGTCTATGTAGGCTATGCTTCCCATGGAGAACACGAGTTTGCACACATGTTCATTTTTTTAAAGAATTATTTAACTTTATTTATTATGATTATTTAATTTGGCCAGAGAGAGAGGGAGGGAAAGTGAGTAAACGAGTCATCAGGTCCAGGATTCAAACCACAGTCAGCCACATGGGAGTCCAGCACCTTAATCACCACACCAGCTGCCAGCCCCATGCACACGTTTTCCTTTACCATGAACAACTACACAAACCTGCCATACCACTCTTGTTGAGTGTATCTGCTCTACTGTCTCCCAAGAAGACAGTCTGGGGCTGTGCCTGGCCGGTGCTTTTGGGGAGAAGGAGCAGAACACCTCTGTGGCCCTCTTAGGTCCATACAAAATGCCCCCCTTAGAAGATGGGATATGTTGGGGAGGGAGGAACACTGAAAGAACACCCTCAGGGAAGCCTCGATGTGCTGAGCAATGAAATACATTTCACAGGCAGATTTCAGCAAGAACTCCAACCCACATCTCATCAACAGAGCATGATAGGTCTCTTGGAACACCATCCTACTGCTCTCCCCGCCTGCCAAACACCAGGCCAGTCTCCCGGAAAAAAGCAATCCTGTGCATAGCTGGTAGTGTACTGAACCGCAGAGGTGAAGGTCACATGCTGACCAACAGTTCAAATCCCCACCAGCTGCCCAGAAAACATGCCAGGTGCATACACACATGCCCAGGATCCTGGAGGCCTGAGGGAAGGGGACCCTGGCATAAGGGGCAGGGGAAAGGAAGTACAAGGCAGAGAAGGAGGAAGTCCTGAGGTAGGAATGGATCCCCAGAGGCAACATCTGAACTCTAACATTCAGTCAACAAACATTTCCTTGGCTCTGTGCTAGACACCAGCACCATGGTGAACAGAACAGACTCAGTTCCCAGCCCATACCCTCACTAAAGGTGTGGAGACATTCCATAATTGGGCTGTTTCTATATATGGTGCACTGTGGAAGGTTAGAATCGGGTTGTGAGAGCAACAGAGACAATCCCGGATAGGCAGGAGACAGCCAAGTTGGGGGCGTGGTGGGAGGAAGAGGAAAAGTGTTTCAGGGACAGGGAACATCATAATGCTCAAAGGTGGGGGAGGTGAATTTAGGGACCTCAAAGTGGGTTAGTCTTTGTGAAGGAGGCAACAAAGAGTGAGAACATTACAAGAGCTGACCTCGAAGTGCAGGCAGGGGTCAGGACACAAAGGACTGTGGTCATGGCAAGGACTCTGGACAAAAGTCAAAGCCTTGGCATTGCTGAAAGGCTACTGAGCAGAGGAACAGATGAGCACACGCCCACTTGGGTCATTCCCAGGGCACTGGTCAAGGCGCTGTGGCTCCTAAAGTGAGTTCAAATTCAGCCAGAACACATTCGTGGGAAAGATGTCTGCCCTGCACCCTGGCGTGGGCCAGGCCCTGAGATAGGCCCTGGAGGGGAGGCGGGCAGTAAGGCTACAGTGATTCCCCACTCCCACCCCTTTCCACCCCACTCAAGGAAAGAGGCTCCACATGAGGCAGGAACATGAATTAAACATGTCTCAAGCATAAATTCTAGAAAAGAAAATGAGTTCAATTGTTTATTTTTCCTCCTTGTAGTCACAAGATGCTGAGAGTTTAGCCTTAACTGAAGTCCTCAGCAAATTCCTCACCCAGGATCTCACTGCCAAGGAGTCAGGTTTCCAAATGGCCTCGCCCACTCTGGGATTTTTCCTTGAGTGATAAGCAACATGGTAGCTGGCCCTTATCTTATGTTTGCAAGAGGCTGAAATGTCCAGCTAAAGAGTAACAAATGTAGTTCATCTATATGATTTTTTTATGTCAGCTGCCAACTAGGATAGCCTTAAGTGAACATGAGTTTGTCATATGGGTACACTCTCCCCTCCTGGGTTAACATCTTCCAAGTGACCCCCAGAAAAATGTGACAGAGGGCCAGCAGATGGCCTAATGATTACATCGCTGGACTCCCACACAGTTGACCACGGTTCGAATCCCAGACCCGGTGACTCAAAACTCACACCAGGTGCGTGTGCATGCGTGCCCAAACTCCCAAGAGGAAAACAGAGAAGGGATTGCAGTGTGGCCATCCCCTCAGGTAGTGATTTCTCACTTTCTGGTTTTTTCTCTCTGTGTGTCTCTCCAGTGAGTGCATGGGCCCTATAGCAAAAATCTCTCTAAAAAAAAAAAAAAAAAAAAAAAAAAAGAAAAAGAAAAAAAAAAAAAAAAAAAAAAAAAAAGAAGAAGAAGAAAGAAAGAAAAAAAAGAAAAGAAAAAGGAGACAGCTGTCAGTGACAGCTAATACTCACCCCGATTCCCATTAAGCACTTTTCATCGGGACCTCATTTAAACCTCATGATATTATGAAGCAAGGTATACCATGTCCATCTTACAGATGAAGAAGGCAAGGCTCAAAGAGGCTTGATAATTTGCTCAAGATTACACAGCTAATAGATGGTAGATCTGGTATTTGAATCAAGGTGTTCTTACTCCAGAGACTAAGTTCTATATGATACTACTGCACAATCTCATTTATTTGTTAATATATAACAATACATTGAAATGAGTGGCCCTTGAAAGTCACCTTCTTTGGGGACTGCACATTTATTAAGCCACCTGCATGCAGGACTTCACATGCTCAAATTAGAGCACACCTTCAGATTGGCCTCTACCTTGGCTAAAAGCCACACAAGGAAATTTTGACTTCAGGGTAATGCCTCCTCCTTCCAGCCCAAAAACTGGATTGATAACCCATCTTAGTCACCCTGTTTTCCACAACTCACACTCTTGACTTTCAAAAATTAATTCTACCAGAAGAAGTCAAGGACGATTCACTTCTAAGGACATTTAAAAGAACCAGTCATGGACTCTGAGAGTCATTCTCAAGAGGCATCAAGGCTTGAAGTACTCATAATAACCTGGGTGGGAATCAGGGTGTGACTGATTCCCAATAGGCCAGAATGGCCTACTTTGAAGAATACTAGTTCTTATCTGATCATTAATAACTCACTCTCTTTGCACTTGAATGAGAAGACACAATACCATGAGACCACACACAATATATTTTGTCAGTGCCTGTCCTCCACAGAGCAGGGACTAACCCATAGCAAAGATCATTTCTCCTTTCCATGCCCAAGTGATTAGAAAATACGCAGTAAGGACTTGCTGGCCAGTTTACTGAACTGAAGGTGAAAGGCCATTACACTACAAAACACAAGTTAGAAGACAGGCCTACACGTTACCTTGCTTGGTCTGTGCAATTTACAGCACCACAGAGAGACACTAAAAATATTAACAATTTGGGGACCAGCAAGTGGCATGGTGGTTATGGTGCTGGACTCCCACATGGCTGACCACTGTTCAAGTTCTGGACCAGGCAGCTTGAAAACCACACCAGGTGTGTATGCATGCCCAGAATCCTGAGAATGGAGGAGAAGGGATGGTGGTGAGGCCAAGCCACCCTGGGGGTGATTTCTCACTTTACCTCTCTCTATCTCTCTCTGGCAAGCACATGCACACTATGGCAAAAATCTAAAAAAAAAAAAAAAAAAAAAAATTAACAATTATTTTTAAACCTAAATAATTCAAAGATGTGTGTCATTGCCACTTCCCTCCAACACTGCATGGCATACTAACTAGTTCAATAAGGCAAAACAAAGAAATCACCTATGACTGTACTGGAGACTGGTAGTAGTTCGAGAGTACATCAAATGACCTATTTAGTTCCTCAGTTTCATTAGTTACATGGAAAGTACTCAGAAGCCACATGTAGTTAGTGGCGACCATACTGACTACTGCACGTCTAAAAATCTCCATGGCTGCGAGAAGTTCTATCAGACAAAGCTGGTCTGAGGATTAGAAAAGAAAGAGACAAAATTCTCACTTTTTTATACAGGATCATATACATAAAATTTCAAACTATAATTATAAGATGAACTAATGTGTAAAGAGATGAACAGATCTATCAGTAGAATTCAAATAATAATTCAGCGAGGTCTAAAACAAATGTATGAACATAAAAAGCAATTTCAATATACACGGGATCTGTAAAAAGTTTATAAAAAAAATAGGTATTTTGAAAAAACTATACATGGGTTTCAAAAATTTTTGTACCAGGACCAGCAGTTGGCATAATGGCTATGTTGCTGGACTCCCATGTAGTCAACCACGGCTCGAGTCCTGGACCCAGTGGCTTAAACTCATGCTGGGCACGTGTGCATGCGTGCCCAAGATCCCAAGAGGAGAATGGAGGGGAAGGGATTGCGGCGTGGCCATCCCCCCTTGGGGTGATTTCTCGCTTTCTGTCTCTCTGTTTCTCTCTGTCTTTCTGGCAAGCATACGCACCCTATAGCTAAAACCTCTCCAAAAAAGAAAAAGAAAAAAAAAAATTTGCACCAAAATAAAGTAATACTTGAATTCCGTTTTTCCACAAAGTTTTTTTCCTCTTTTTAAAATTTTTATTTAAATTTATTTATTTATTTACTTACATTTAAACCAAGAAAGACAGTGTAAAAGAGAGAGGGAAGAAAAGTAAGAAAGCAAGCCACCAGATCTGGGACTTGAACCGCAGTCAGCCATGTGGGAGTCCTGTGCCCTTAACCACCATGCCACCTGCTGGCCCCTTTCCACAAAGTTTTGAAGATTTCTTGTACCAGGAATAATCAGAAAATTAAATTGGAAAGGCCCAAACAGTGGTACAGCTATAAAATCTGATACTCTGTGAAGTTGGCCCATGTAGGAAGGCTCTAGGTTTCTATCTGAAGACCTCCCTGAATACACCAAACATGATCTGACCTGGGGCTGGCTAAGGCTGCTGGTTGGCATTAAGACCAATGGTCATCTGTTGGCTCACTCATTGAAGAAATAAGTAAATAAGCTTTTTTTTTAAAAAAAAGAATTATTAACTTTATTTATTTATTCATTTGTTCATTTATCTGTTTTTTTTATTTGACCAGGGAAGGAGAGAGAGGGAGAGAGGGAAAGTGAGAAAGCAAGCCACCTGGTCCAGGACTCAAACCACAGTCAGGCATGTGGGAGTCCAGCACCCCCAACCACTATGCCACCTGCCAGCCTCCTCCTCCCTTTTTTAAGAGCAAATTTTGCAATGGGGTACATGTGCTCAGAGAGATAGAAACTGAGAAATCACCCCATGGGGGGGATGGCCACAACACAATCCCTTCTCTGTTCTCCTCTTGGGATTTTGGGCACACACCCATACATGCCCGGTATGAGTTTTAAGCTGCCAGGTCCAGGACTCAAACATCAGTCTACTATGTGGGAGTCCAGCAACGTAATCATTACACCATCTGTTGGTCCCAGCTTTTTTTTAAGTTTTAAAAATTAGCATTTATAAGCGCTTCCAAAAACAACAGCAGCAACAATCACCACCATCCAAGTAGCTAGTAATAAATCTAACAAAAGATGTTTAAGGTCTTTTTGGAGACATATTTAATCATCTGTATTGTTAACCCAGTGCTTCTCCACTCATCATCTTCATTTTATCTTCTCATTGTCTTGTTTTTCCAAATGCAGGGCCCAAGAGTGTGCAGTCGTGACCGGGACCATGGAAGACACCAGCAGGTCTCCCAACTCCACCCACGCCCAGCCTCCCCATCACCCCTCACCTCGTTGTATAAATCGCTGAATTCCTCAACCACGTCCTTGGGGATCCTACGGCCATGGTTGGTAAGGTAGCAGGCCACACCATTCTTGGAGTAGAAGCTGATGCGGCCCACACTGCGCTCCTCATCGGTTGTCTCTTCCAGGAGGCCATTGGCTTCTGCTAGATGATAGATGGGGTTCCCGTGGGAGCCATGGATCCAGGTGGCTCCCAGCTCAAAGGTGGCGTGTCCTGACAGTGACAACAACAGGCCCTTAGAGGGGCAGGGAATTCTTCAGAGAGGGGCCAGAACTCTGTCTCCCCCTCCTTCCTCCAAAAGGATCCTCCCACTCCCATAACTGAACAGGAAGGGACCTAGAATTCCCCTCTGGCAATCAACCAATCTTCGGAGAAAAAGGTCCCCACAAAAGCCACTTATAGGTGAGATAAGTGCCACCCAGAGTGACTCTGTGATGTGCCCTACAGTCACTTCATAAGACCAGTTAGATGCCTTTCCTTTTCTAGTCCCATCTTTTCCTTTTTTTTTTTTTTTCTTGCTAACTGGATATATTTTTCCCTTATTTATTTATTTATTTGTCACAGAACACTGTTTGCAGTGGAGGAAACTGGCATTGCAGTCTGGTGGGATAATGGCTTGTTCACATAAACCAGTACATGTTCATCCTTTCACACAAAAAGCCCTAATACCCTGTTGAAATTCAGACCGCTCCATATTTTCTCTCTGTATTTGATTTTGTCTTTTTTTTTTCTTTTTTTTAATCATTTTCAAGGTTTGTCCAAAAGAAGGCCGCATAGGTTCTTGGCTAACAGAAGACAACAGTTGCTGCACACGTGGCCAGACCCACCGTTTTCTAACACCAGGTACAGACTCCTTTCTTCAGTGGGACTTCCGCACTTGGAAAATATACCATGGCCACCTGAGGGCACCGTGGTCCCAGTGGAAACCAAGGTCCCTCTGGTCTTCTTACAGATCCTCAACATCCCCAATTCCAGAACCCCAGCCCTTCCTTCTTCCACCCTGAAATCAGCCTCTCTCAATTTAGTCCAGGACAGGAGACAGAGGGCAAACATTCTTGTTTGGAAGATTCCTCCCCAAGGCAATCTAAAACAGACTTCTAGAGAAAATGAAGCTCACTCATTGTCAGGTGTGGGCGGCAGACTCCAAACAGAGGGCCACTCCTGGGTCCAAGCAGTAATGGAAGGATTCTACAGCCCTACCCCCAGTCAAGGTACCAGATCACTGAGGCAAGTCACCCCTGTGCCTAAGCCTCAGTTTCCTCTGCTGATGCTGAAGAGACTGTGACACATTTGTCCCTTCCTCTGCTTAGGTCCCAGGGTAACTGAAACAATGAAAGGAGAAGAGATAGAAACACTTTGGTGTTTCGTTTTATTTTTGCAGCCATGATACAAGATAGGGGTGGTAAACGTTTTGCCAAGGTGGTCACAATACTTTCTCCTATCTGTGGACACGCACTCCCTTTATAATATGACTTTGCTATTTCTCCCACCAAGAGAAGAAATCTGTTTCCCCACTCTTTGAATCTGGACAGGACTGTGACTTGCTTTGATTAACAGAATACAATGAAAGTGATCGTTGTGGCTTCAGAGTTTAGGCCTCGAAGTGCCTCACGGCTTCAACTCTCACTCTTAGAATGTGACCATCATGGAAATAAACCCAGATTTCACTCTGGAAATACGTGACTAGTCAAAAGCCTGTGCCAACCACCAGGCACATGAGAATAAGGCCAGATTGGACAAACCATCAGCCAAGCCCCCAGATGATTGCATTCATGTGGGGGAGTCTAGGAAAGGCCAGCAAAAGAGCCTTCTACCTAAGTCCTGCTCAAACTACTCACCCACAGAATGTGAGTAAGTAAAATGGTGTTTCAAGTCATTTCATTCTGGGACAGTTTGTTATGCAGCTATAGCTACTTGATACACTATAACAAACAGCAATCTTATCTCTCACCTCCAAAACTGAGCATTCCTCTTTTTCATGCTTTCTCTTTTCTGGGCTGCTTCTAATTAAACTGCCAATGACTAAAAACAGCCTTGTATGCATGTATGCCAAAAACAAGAGAACACACAATCAACCTCATCCCTCAGCCAGCAAGCAGAATCTCCTGGTATCTCTGAAAGAAGAGGCAGGAATGTACAAGCCCCTTTGTCCAGAAAATGTGGGCAGACTGGAGGGCGCCAAAAGCTGCCCTGCTTCCAGTGGGTTCCTGGCAGACACTGAGGGAATTTAATTACACACCCTCCTTTACTGCCAGGCTTGTAGCTCCCCAAAGCGTCTTGCCTAGCTTCAGCTCCCAATAGGAACAGAGGGGACAGGCACTCTGAGTAGAGACCTGAACCCTTCTCAGGTCACAGCAAGGAGATCCAAGTCACACAATCACTGGGCAGCCCTGACTTGGGGCACCTTTCCTGCCTGCAGAGATTCAAAGGCAAGACTGAGGTGAGCAGTTCGAAGTAAGGAGTAAAGTCAATGCCCAGCCTCTATCCCCAGGCTTTGCAAGGAGGCCCAGACCAAGCTCTTGTCTGAGGATGCTTTCTGCTCTCTCCCATGTGCCCCTCCCTCTCTGTCATTCTTGCCACACCCCTGCAACCAAAGGGTACGAGGCACCATCTCTGCAGCTACTCCATAGTATCTTCAGAGCCTTTGGCCCTTCACCCCTGCTCTGGCCAGTGACGAGTTAACAGCTACCACTTCATGCAACGGCAGGTCCAACGGCAGCCAGACTTTCAGTCCTGCACACACAACACGAGCACTCGTCCTGACATGCTCGCTCCTCTCCTAGCAGGCTGTCACCTCGGTCTTCTCACATACATCTTTCCACACATATTGCTTGCTCCTTCTCACAACCTACCCAAACTCCCCCAGCACTGTGGCTCACCCAAGCTTCCTCCCCACACCACCCAGGAAGCTTTCCTACCCAACTGATCAATTGATAAATCTATCATGCGTCCTCCTCGCCTCCTGCAGCCCCATCTTACCACTCACTGCCTTGTACCAGCATCTCCCTGGAAGGCATATCTCAGCTGTCAGCTACCACAGAGACTGGGCCATCTGTCCTCGTGACTTCTGTTTCTCTGTCAGACCTCGAATGTGTGTGGTGCTGCCCTTTCCCTAAGGCTCCCAGCCAGCCAATCAGGTGCTTAACAGAGTCCCAGGGCTTCCCTGATGGCTGTGTCTAGGACTGCGAATGTTTTGGATGGCACCTCCGTCCTCACTGCCAGCAGATGCTCCCATATGCCAGGGAAAGGGAGCTGCAACTTCACATTCATCCTCCAAGCAACATTCTAGGG